ATGATACTTTGATTGATTAACATAGTATATACAATTAGATGTCAGGTTTGTGGTAGCAATAATTTGGTACACAAAACAGATATTTAAACTGAAAATAAGAAAAGTGTTAAAATTAAATTTTTAGAAATCTAGAAAATATAAATTAAAATAGTATAATTAATTTTTGTACTCAATCAAATTTAATAATAGTGTTATAATTATAAAATGAAAATAAATTAACTTAATGTAAAAAAGTAAAGTCGAATTGAGTATATAATCAAATTCTAAGTTTATTGTTGTAATTCTAAATTTTAAATAAATTGACCTAATTTACAAATAATAAAATCAAAGTGAATATCTAATGAAATTCTAAGTTAATTATTTAAATTATAACTTTTAAATATATTTACTTAATGTATATTAGTAAAATCAAATTTAGTATTTAATCAAATTCTAAGTATATTATTTGTAAATTAAGTCAATTTATTAAAAATATATAATACAAATAATAAACTTAGAATTTGATTAAATACTAAATTTGATTTTACTAATATACATTAAGTAAATATATTTAAAAGTTATAATTTAAATAATTAACTTAGAATTTCATTAGATATTCACTTTGATTTTATTATTTGTAAATTAGGTCAATTTATTTAAAATTTAGAATTACAACAATAAACTTAGAATTTGATTATATACTCAATTCGACTTTACTTTTTTACATTAAGTTAATTTATTTTCATTTTATAATTATAACACTATTATTAAATTTGATTGAGTACAAAAATTAATTATACTATTTTAATTTATATTTTCTAGATTTCTAAAAATTTAATTTTAACACTTTTCTTATTTTCAGTTTAAATATCTGTTTTGTGTACCAAATTATTGCTACCACAAACCTGACATCTAATTGTATATACTATGTTAATCAATCAAAGTATCATAAATTAGATCAAAAATTAATCTTTTTTTTTGTGACATTTTTCTTTCATAAATTTGAAATAATCTAGGGTTTTTTTTTTGTAATTTTTTGGAATATTTTTTAATTGTTTAGAAAATACTAACTTAATTTAGTCAATTTGAAAGAATTTATTAATTATCTCTGACCAGGTCATTTCCATCAAGTAAATATTTCATCAAACCTTCATCTCTTTTTACTTGTTTCCTGATTACGAGCCTATTAAGGATGTGAAAGGCCTCCTTGGTATGATTATTTCTAAGTATTTTCTCTATTTCCTTCATGATTCTTCAAAGTGGTTTAATTACCTCAATTGATCTCTTGCTCTATTAAAACATTTGATACGGTGTGAGTTCTATTTCAAATTATTATAGAAATCAGCTATGGACTTAGATTTGCAGGATGAGATATATAGAGAAAGAATCTTGAGTTTTATGAGATAGAACTAGTATCGTCTAGGACTGAGGTGTGACTAGATTGATTACTATTTTGGAAATTATTATTAGATGATCTGAGAGAGAATTTTATTCAAAAGTGCTCTTAGCTTTAAAATCCGCGTTAATTAGTAGGCAGTCTGTTTTCCTTTTTATTACTTTTGATTATATAATTCTGCTAAAAGCATGCTAGGTTTATGGCACTAGATCTTTTATTTACAGCAATTAGATTTTCGATTGATAGATGACAATAAAAATGGCTTTTGATTTTTAGAAAAATGGTTTTTTTGGTGAGTAGATATTCAATACGAATATTTCTAGTCTTTATCAAGTTATTTAGATCAGTTACCATTTCTAATTATTTGTCTATTTGAGGGAGTATATTTGAAATATCTTTCGTGAAGAATTAATTGTGAACTCCGATTGCTATCCCACCTCCCCTGGTATGATTTTCTTTTCCTAATCTATTATAATATGTAAAAGAAGGGAAGTTTAGTATTTCTTTTCTTGTTTCTTGAAAGCACATTATATGTGCTCCTGTTTATTTGACAGTTTTTAGAGTATCATATTTCATTGAGGATACGTTCCATGTGAGGACGATTAATTAATTTGGAGTTTATAATTTTATAGTTTACAAGCATATGCTCGTTTTGGTTTTTGTGCTTTTGTAATTATGGTCAGCAGCACAGATCTGACTTACCTGAATTGATTCAACAAAAATTATTATTTTTTTTTATTACAAGTTTGAATGGTGTTTTTTTGTAATTTGTTGTTTTAATCTTGTCTTACTTTTAAAGACAACTTTACATAAATTGCAATATCTATTTAGGTCTATATAGGGATCAATGTTGGATTCTTATTAGGAAATACCTAATTATTTTGATTCTTCTGTATCGTCTATTTAAATGGGCTTTAGTAAGTTTATTAAAAAGATTCTATTGTCATAATTATTAGCATTACCCTTTTTTTTTTTCTGGAAGAATTAATTGGTTTTTTGGTTTTAGTTTATTACAGAAAATGATCTCTCTAAATTCTCAACTTCTTTTTGGTCTATTTATTATCTTTTCTTGAGAATAAATAGACTATCTGTGTTTAGAGTATTTAAAAATCAACTTATCTTTTTAAAAAAAAATCATCAATATATCCATCAGTGAGTATTTTTAAAGTTGTGTAGAAGTCATGAAATTTGCATTCTTCACTATTTTAATGAATGATACAGATTTACTAATATTAGGGTGATTACTAGCCATTCTTGTGAGATTTTGATTTACCTCTATTTATATTAAAAATTCGATTCAAAATTTAATTTGGGATTTATATCTAACTCTTCTCTTTTGCTTGATATAATTTCAAGGTTTGTATGTTATTAATCTTAGATAGATTGATTGTTTTTGATATTTTAATTATAATTAAAATTTAATTAAAATATATATTAAAACATTATTCTTTGAATTAGATTGAATATGCAATTTGATTATACTATTTTAATTTAAGTTTTATATATTTCTAAAAAGATAATAATGACAATATTCTTAGAATTTGATTAATTAAGGAAATTTGATTTTACTATTAGAAATTAAATTATTTTATTTAAAATAGATAATAAAAACACTATTCTTAAAAAATGATTAAATAAGCAATTTGATTTACTTATGTAATTTTAAATAAGATATTTAAAATTTTATAATTATACTACTATTCTTAAAATTTTATTAAAATTAATACAATTAATGTATTTTTAATTATTTTTCTATTTATATTTTAATTCCATCATCAATAAAATTTTTCTTGTAGTTTTATGAATATAAATCAATCTAATTTAAAATATACTTTTTATAATATAACTAACATTTAGTCGAAACCTTTAGTATTTTCTTTTTATGGTTTGATCATGTTATTGGATCTTCTCAATTTTCATCTTATGCATTTTGAACTCCAATAACATTTAGATGTTATTTTGTGATTTTTAATATTCTAAATTTGATTGATTACTGTGTTTACCAGCATTTTTGGTTATGAGATAATAAGTAAAAGTATTTTCATGAGTGTATAAAGAGCATTATAATTTTTTTTATTTATGATTATAATTAAATACAATATTCCTAAAGTTTAATCTTACTTAACTTGACTGTAAACTTAATCGAGGACTTCCTTTATGAACTTATTTATACACCATCCCCAACCTGTTTGTAAAATATATTAAATTATTCCATTCCAGTATAGATTTCATCTGCATTCAAGATTAATTATTGATTCCAGAGGTCTTCTATTTTAGAGGATTAAAATACCTCTTCAACCGATCAATGTGATTTTACCCAAAATATAATTAAATTTAAATTTCGATGCTTTTTGGGATTTATTTTTCCCTGTATTAAAAATTGATTTCGAGATTAAATAATATATTTTTGATAAAATGTTTTTTTGCTATGGATGAAGTCATCATATAAAATTTATTTGAAATAATTATTTGAATTCGAAAAATATTTTAGTTAATTAACTCATTTTATCGTAGTATGGATTAAGTTAATGCAAATGTAAACAGTTGAATTTCCATTCTAACCATATATAATTTATACAAACTTCATTTTATTTTAAGTTTAAGGAATAATAATTGTGAAGGCAAACAGAATACTTGGGTCCCTTTAATCTGTATATACAGGTTTGATTTTAAAAGGGCACTATCTACCAAATTTAATTCTAGTGAATATTTATTTTGAGTAAAATTATAAAAGCTATTCACTTGTAAATAATCAGAATTAAAATTGCATATTTGATAAAAAGAACCACCAAATTTGATCTCTCCGAAAATCGTCTCAAATAATAGGGTAAAACGAAGAATTAGGATTTAATTCTGATAAATTTCCAACATACAATATTTAATAAAAAAATTGTTTTTAGAAAATTGAAAAAAAAGAATACATCCTTTTTCTTTTTTTAACTCTACTGTTGAATAAAGAATATACAATAGATCTATGTAAATAAAAGATTAAATTTATAAAATTAAAAAAGAACTTAAGGAGGATATAAAGAGATTGACAATAAAAATTTGGAAATATGTAAATCTAAATTAATTAAGAGAGAATGCATCGCTTTAAATAGAAAGAAATAATTAAGATGTAAAATAATAAACAATAATCGAAATTTCAACTTTAAGGAAGAAGTTCAAAATGAATGAATAATAATATAAAAATTAATATTAAAGACAATTATTTAATTAAGAGGAAAAATAACAAAGAAGTACAAAAAAGAAACAAGAAAATAATAAAATAGAAATACTGAAATTGAGAATAGATTTTACGAATTTTTTATATTTAACTAAATTCATATTAAGCTTTTTAATCAATATAACTGATAAATAAAAATCAAAAATATTGGCAATTTTAATTTATGTTGCTGTTTTATAATAGTAATTAAAATGAGATAAATGATACAAAAATTTCAAATAATAAAAATGGTATAAAATTTATATTTAGAGCCTTTGAAAGATATAAAATATTTTCTTATAGTAAACTTGAGATTTAGTGATAAAATGTAGTGCCTAGCAAATTGATCAATAATTTAACCAAATTTAATCCTTAATTATTAATTATGTATTCTAATTAGCTCAAAAATTTTAATTTATAAATAGGTTGTTTCATTATATTAATAGTAAGATAGTTTCAATAATGAAAATACTAGAAGAATAATAAATTCAAATATACTATGCTTCTAGATACTCTACTTCAGCTTCTGTAAGGATTTTTCTCATTTTTAGTTTTCTACATAACCTTGATCTACTTTGGTGTTATAGGCTCTTGTAAATTCGATTAAAATTAAGCATTAATTATTGCTGCTATTAGTTTATCTAATCCAATCCAGTATTAACATAATATTAAGTTGTGTGCCAATCCAGGAGATAAATCCTGTTTGAGGTTTGAGAATTTTATTAGATAATCCTATAATTTATTGTGAAATCTAAGTTCCTTAAATTTTAATAATAGGCTCATTATTACAAGAGGTCTTAATTAATCGCTGTTTAGAATTTCTGGATGGCATTTATTTAATGGGCATACTCTTAACCATCCTAATTCTTATAAGCCTCGAAGTTACTATGGTTCCTAATATCACTAATGATTTCCAATCGCACTACCTAATAAATTAATAAATGATAGATTTATCAAGAGCTATTTTTTGTTGCATATTTTCACTTTCCTCTTTATTTAATGTAGATTATTATGGAATTGCTTTTGGGTAGTATGATTAAACACTTGATAGTTTTAATAAGATTAAAGGGCAATTGTAATTAAAAGAGTCTATCCATACTTGACAGTTATATACCAAACTTTCTTTAGTATAACTAAGTGATCAGTTATTGATTTTAATGTTGTATTTATCTATTTTCTTTTGAAAAATGTAGCTGCTTTTTGATAGCATCAATCAAAAAATTGACTCTGAGATCTTCGTAATCAAAATCTCCATAAATAATCTAATATTAATTGTCTAATAGTTAAGTAATTGTATCTATCGCCTTTGTTCCAGAAAAATTGTATGCATTTTATATATTTACTTTGTCTATGAAAGTAAACATTAATTAATTTTAAGTATAATACAGGATTTATTATTTGGTCAACTATTACATTAGGGTAAATAATTTCTTCATAAGAATTTCGAAAATAGAAGGAGGTTATATCCTGACTTTAAAATAATTGATGTACACAAATAATAATACTTACTGAATTTGAGATGTCTCTTTTGCTATAATAGTATTTATATTTAACAGAATCTTATATGACTTGATTCCTCACTTCTTAAAGGCATATTAGATGTGTTTTTATGGTTTTATTTCATCTAAAAGCAGCCTATTTTAATGACCCAATATTCAGCATATCAATTATATTGATATGCTGAATATTGACTTTTACTCCCATTAACGCTTAAAATTTTGTGAAATTTATTTTTATATGGAGTTTTACGATCATTTTTGAAGTTTATATGGCTCCTATTGGATTATGTAGATGCGTATGGGCCTAATCTAAATTTTTCACAAAATAATTCTTCTTCTCCTTCTGATAGAGGCTTTTAGGAGATAATTTTCATCTTATTTTATTAGTTGAACTTCATCTTTTGAAGCATTTTGGTTACAACTTTCTGAATTGTACTAATTAAATCAAACTTATTTTGATTTTAACTTCTTTTAAGGTCTTATTTATATTATTGTTAATTGGAAGGTTTCTTATTTATTCCTTATGTATAATATTCTTATTATCTTCTAATACACATGATAACTTTTTTTATGTTGTTCTTTAATTGAATATAAATAGTTTACATGTTTTAGCCATGGAGAATGCGTCTAAATTTTGTTATTTACTTTATTATTATATAAAGCCATGCATATTTGAGCTTTTCATCTGGATTTTCTGCTGTAATATTTCTGTGTATGTCATTTTTGTATTTTTTGAAATTTACTTTTATTTTTGTCAATTGATTAAGCAAATTGTTAAATTACAAAAAAGTCAGCTTATTTATGAAGAGTACATTATTATGAGTTGGATCAAGTAAAATTCTTTTTGCCAATTAGTCTGATATTTCATTAGCAGCAAGATTAAATCTTGTGAAAGCTGTAATGAATTATTAAGAAGACGGCAAATTTATATTTTTTTCATTTTGAACTATAATTTAAATTAATTATTTAACCAATGGAATTTAAATTATTGTATTTTTTATAATATAATTAAAATGCTATCTTAAAATTCGATCAAACATAAATTTTGATTTAAACAAATGTCATCAATATTAACACTTAGAATTTGATTAAAATATAAGATTTAAGAAGTTTTAACTGGAGTAGGAATTGAGACAAAAAGAATAGGGCTTTTTTGGTTCCAACTAAAGAGTATGTCTATTTAAAATTAGATAGTGTAAAAAAAATGGAATCGTGCTAATCTTTTCAAGGAAATAGGCTACTTTAGAATCCATAGACATTTTGGAATATAAAAGGATTTGGATGATATATTAGGCTCTATTTAAATCAGATAATATTAAGAGTATTATAATATTTAAACAATAAAATATTGATAAAAATTCTAGATATATTAATTTATAAAAATTCATTATTTATTTCAAATAAGTTAGCAACAACTTGAATCTGGAGGGGCATCAGTTTAATTCGCGGCTTTTTAACCTGTTACTTCATTTTTATTGGGTTGAATTGCATCCTGAATTACAATTCTAAATTTTTTATTATTTTCATATCGTAATATTGCATCACTATTATATTCTAAATATCTTAAGATTCTCAAAGAATCCTTTATTCCTTGTTTCCAGGATACAGATTCTGAATTTGTCTCGTAATCACTTTCTAGTTTCGATAATTAATTAATATATGAATTTAATTCTCCTTATCCAAATACTTCCTTGTTTGTTATTTGTTTTTTTGCCAAAAAGATGGCCGCAAATTGAATTTCTTTCTCTTAATCGGAAGGGCCAACAAAAAATTTTTATTAAATTTTAGTTAATATTTGCATTCTATTTTAAAATTTATTTTCTTTTTATTTTTCTACCATATAATCTAATGCTGCATTTATAGCATTGAACGTCGTACCTATTATTGGTACAGATCCCATTAGAAAAGAACCAGTACTAGAAAAAGTTTTAAGAAACTCAGCAACTTTTTCAGAATTACTTTCTACCATAGCATCTTTATGTATTGCAAATAATTTAGTCGACAAAAGTTACATAGCTTGCAAGTAATTGTATAAACGCCAAAATAAAGATTTGTAATATAAACATTATTCAAAGTTCTCTGGTTTCTTTATTTATTCTAATTCTTATTATAATTAATAAGAATCTTATTCCTCCAATTTCTAAACTTTATTTTCTAATGATACAAATTTCTCCTAAAAGGCTTTCAATTTTTATTCAACTTGGAATAAGTAATCCAATAATTATGATTATTATTACTAACTACATTATTCATTTGTTGGTTTCAAACCATTAGCAGCCTATTCTTAAATCTTATTAATTTCAGATAAAAATGCTTATTCTTATTTCTAATCTATTGAGTTTGTATTTGCTAATTAGGCTATATTTTTTTTTGCAATTTAAAATTGGTTGTCAATTTCAGAAATCAACTTTAATTTACTTTAAATAAATTTAATATTTCCTGGTGTGAGATTTCTACTTTTGAATTTTGAATGAATAATTTAATCCAAACAACCTGATGCTAATGAAAAATATTGTTTTGCTTGCATATAATCCTTTTGTTAGTAGTATAAACTACCAAGATTAGTCAAATATAAAGGATTCAAAGGAGCTATTTCTATTGCTTTCTTGTAGTCTTATATAGCCTCTTATATTTTGCCATCATTCATATATAAGTTACCTAGTTATGTTGAAATATATAACCTCTCGAGTTATAAGTATCAGAATGAGCTGGATTGCGTTCTAATACTAACTTAAAATCTTTTAGGGCCTTATCTTTTTATCCCAAATCATAGTATAAAATACCTATTATTGTTAAACAATAATACCTCTGTTGTAAAGAGAGTTAATATGGTTGGGATTGAGTTCAGCAGCTTTATTATAATCCTTAAATGCTTCATCAATCTTGTTCAAATCTTTAAATAAGATACCTGATCTAAATTAATTTTTTACCTCTACTATTATAGGCCTCGGCATTATTTTTGTTAAGTTCAATTGCTTTATTAAAATCATCAAAGGCCTCTTGATTTCTCTCTTTTTTTCTAAGTAAAATCCCTATTTTCAATAAGCAAACAAAAACCTCTGTTACAATATGTATTAGAGCTTTAAGGATCAAGTTCGATAGACTTATTATAATCATTAAGGGCTTCTTAATCTAAACCTTAATCACTAAAGAGATTGGCTAGATTTATAGCTGTTGCTTTACCTCTATTATTGTAGGTATTGGAACTATTCGGATCCATTAGGATAGATGTACTGTAATCAATCATTGATTCTGTATCTTTTTCTAGATCATGGTAAATACTACCTAAAAAGAATAGCTGATATTTATACCTCTAACATTAAAGGCCTTAGCATTTTTAGGGTCTAACTAAATTACCTTGTTTATATCATTTAGGGCTTCTTAATAATTTTTTAATTTTGAATAGAATAATGCTTGAAATAATAATAATATTTACATCTATTATAATAAGCATTAGTATATTATGGATCAAGATTGATTGCTTTTTGATAATCATCTAAAGCTTCTTAGATTTTCCCCATATCTGACATTAAACCAGCTAAAAATAAAAATCCATAAAACCTCTGCACTAATAGACTTTAGCATCATTAGCATTTAGCTCAATAGCCTTATTATAACTTTTTAAGGCATCTTCCTTCTTTCCTAATTCATTTAGCAAAGATCCTAAAATTTATATAACGCAATACCTCTATTATAGTAGGCACTCTAATAAGTTGGATCTAATTCTATTGCCTTATTGTAATCTTTTAATGATTACTCTTTATTTCCACTGTCATCAAATAGAATAGCTTGAATAAATTTTTAAAACAACCTCTATTGTAATATGCTTTGGCCACATTTGGTGTTATCTTTATCATTTTATTATAAGATTCTAAGGCTTGAGCTTTTCTTCCAATTTTGCTCAGGATGATGGCTAAGAAAAATTAGTTTATCTACCTTGACCAAAGTAGGCGTCACTATATTCAGGATCAATGTTAATAGCTTATTAATAGCTTAAAAGAGCATTATCTTGTTGTCCCAATTCTTCTAATAATATTGCTAAACACTTAGTGAAGTTAAGAATACCTTTATTATAGTGAGCACTTTTATCTTATGAATCCAGTTCAGTTGCTTTAGTAAAATCTTATAATGATTAGATTTTATTCTTTTCCATTAAAAGATATCCTCTACAAAAATATGAATTTGCATCATTAGGATTGAGGTTTATTAATTTATTATAACAATCAATTGCCTCATCGTTTCTACCAAGTTTTTTCAATAAAATTGCTGATTTTATAAATGATAAATACCTTTATTAGAATAGGCTTCTTTTTCCTCTGGCTTGAGATCAATTATCTTCTAATAACAATTTATTGCTTCTTAATCTCTTCCCAAATTATTTAAAATGATAGCTGATTATTATGTAAATGATTACCTAGATTATTGTAGGCATTAGCATTTTTAGGATTTATGCTCAGAACTTTTTCATAATCTTTAAGAGCATCTTCTTATTTGCTTAACTTATTTAAAGTTATTGCTTATAATAGATCAAATAAATTAACCTCTATTAAAGTAACAATTTTCATATTATGGATTAAGTTCAATAGCTTTATTATAGTCTTTTAAACATTCTACATGTTTATTTAGTTCCGAATATATGTTACCTATTAATATATTATAAATTGTAAACCCCTCAAATAATACGCATTTACATTTGTAGAATCTAATTCTATAACTTTATTTAAATCTTTAAGAGCATCTAAATTTTTTCCTAAGTTCCTTAATACAATTGATTTATTGTAATATGCACTTGTGTAGTTTGGATCTATTTATATCACCTTTTAATAATCTTTTATAGCTTCTTCATTCCTATTAAGATCTGACAATAAATTTGCTACAATTTTATAAAATAGCCTTACCTCTACTGTTGTATGCTTGCAATAAATTAGAATCAAGTTCTATTGCCTTATTAAAATCTTATAAGGCTTCAAAATTCTAACTCTATTCATTAAGAAACCATGCTAAAATTATGATTCTTTGTTAAATAATACCTCTATACAAATAAGCAGAAGCAAGCTAAGGCATTAGTACTATAGCCTTAGTTACTTCCTATATTGCTTGGTCCAATTTATTTTACTTATATAAATTCTTAAATTAAAAAATAATTCTACATAGCTTAAATCTTTATGCTTATAGGCTTATTGTTAATTATCTAAAGTTTGATTAGCAACTTCTTAGTTTTGTATCATATATTTTATGATTGGAATGTAAATAATACAAATAAAATCTTTATTGATTTAAAAACAAACTTTGATTAAATAATTCTACTATTTTAATCGAAGAACAATGAGCAAGATGATATATTAAATCTTTAGTTATAAATATTAGTTTGAACTAAAAATGTATCATTATAATTTGAATGGTAATGTTATATTTAGATAAACAACAAAGTAGTTGTAATCTTAAGGATACAATTAATTATTTTATGGATTCAACAAACGTTTAGGATATCTCATTAGATTATTTATCAGATTCATCAATTGAGAAAGATAAAGGGATCTCATAAACTTTTTAAAATTAGCAAGAATTTGATAATCTTAATGAAGATTTTTAAAATCTTGAGATTGTTCTAGAACTAAATGATATTATGAATGACATCTGGAACATAAAATTGGCAGAGAAATATGAACAAAAATTGTAACACTTCAGAGACTATAAAATAATTATAGATAAGTTGTATTAATATTTCAAAAATAACATTGAAAAAACTAAGTTATTTATATATCTACCAATCGATAAATAAGTTAAATATACTGAGGAAATTGCTGATTTTTTCTATTATTTATTGATGAAGGATGTTAAAAGAATTTAGGCTAAACATATTATTAAATTTATTGAATATTCTAATTAAAAGCCAATCAAAATAGAGGCTTTTTAAATTTTTGCAGATAAATGTAATATCAGTCTCTCTGGATACAATTTGAATGATTATAAAAAGAAACCAGAAAAAACTAGATAAATTCAATAAAATTACAAATAAAAAGATATAATATTATTTTAAAAAAATACCATAACCTTGCTTGATATTTTATATAGAAATTAATATATTGAATTAGGAATTGCAATTGATCTACTAATGATAGGTGATTTTAGTATTGAAGAGGTTGTTAATGCAAAGGGTAAATAAGTTGAGAAATTTAATTAATCATATATTTTTAGAATTTATTAACAAACATTTCTTAATATGAACAAAACACTTGAATTAAAATTAAAATGGTTTCATAAAGGAACCCAATTGTAATTAGATACATTTCATGGACAAAATGTTCATTTAGTATCATTACCAGAAGGATCTGACAGAAGATCCAAATTGACATAAAGATTAAATATAGCCAAAAAATAAATTTAAAGTAAGGGATATTATTAATATAATATCGATTAATTATCATTTTATTCCTACCTTAAGAACCTTAAAGTAGATTAGATTAAATAATTCTTCAAAGGATATAATCCTGAATAATGAAATATATTAAATAAAATGATTAAATATTATATTTTAATATTTTTGATATCTTATCTCTATATATATTAGTATTTTGTTAGAACAAAAATAAATAAATATATAATCCAATATTAAATATCATTTCTAAATATTATTAAAGCTTATTTAAAAGAATATAATTTTTCTTTTTAGTTTTAGCGATAATTTTTTATTTCTGAATGAATCTATGACTTAAAATTTACCATTTGATTTTATGCTAAGAAACATGATTCATCAAAGTTAAGTCAATGATAATGCTATTTGATTAAAAAATATTAGAAAATAATTAACATTAGAAATTAAAACTAATAATTTAATTCTACATAATTAAAATATCAAAATTAATAATAAAATTTTTACATATGATAACAGGTTTTCTATCCTCTATTTTTATTGAGATTTGGTTATTTACATCAAATTGATATTTATAAAAGAGATTCAAAATGATTTGGATGTTATTTATTTGATAAATAGTATTTGAAATGAATTAATAAATTATATATATTTACTTTTGTTATCAAAACAAATATTTTGATACTCAACAATTGTTACAATTCATTTTCTAATATACTTAAGATGCAGCCTTTACTTTTTTTTTGAAGAATAATTTTTAGTTTATTATATATAATTTATTAAGAAATCCATTTTTTATATTGTTAGACTCAATTGAAGATGGAATAAAAATTACAATAAAACTTTTAAGATAAGAAACAATAAAATATTTGTCATCTACTTGATTAAAATCATTTATTCAATAAGTCATAACATAAATTATATGAACTTGCTTTGTTAATATTCTAATAAGTATTACTTTAAATGAGTTTCAATAATTATAATAGGTTAAGATTAAAAAATATAAGATTTTAATTATATATGATAGAATTGTTTAATTATAAATCCAACTTTAGAATAATTTTTCGAAGTAATTTAAAAATTAGATAATTAAATATTATGCTAATATTGGATTGTTATACATATTCAATTCCATTTAATTTCATGTATTTAATATTATTTGCTATCTTCAATGTAGGTTACTATATATTTGGCATCTTCAGATAATGTTGCATAGATAAGATTTGTCTCAAATCTGAGTTTTGTAAAAATTACCCTTTCTCCATCCTTAGTTTTCCCAAAAATATATATGTGACGTTTGAATCTCAAAAGAAAAACATCCTTTTATTAATTGTAGATGATTGGATTTAGATGAAAATCAATATATTAATCATCTTTTTCCAATTACAAATTTTTCCCTAAAATCATTTGAAAATTTCCATTTTTTTATTCATAGAAAAATATCTAATCATCAGTTTTTTAATCACAACCAATCCAAAAAAATATGTCATCAGTTAGAAAGAAACCTTTAGTTCCATATGTTATTTAAATAATTTCTTGTTAGAATGTCCATTATTAATCTTCGTTATCCTTCTTCCAAATAATAACTTTTCTGTCTGCACCACAAGAAACCATCCTTGTTTCCTTTTTATTTAAACTTATATCAAATATTGTGTTTGTATGATACTCATCTAATGAATATTTAAAGGTTAACTAATTCTGATTAAAATCAACATCCCAAATATCTATTTGACAATTAGCAGTTGCTTATATCAATTGTGTTTCATCTTTATTTAAAATCATAGAATTTGTCCATTATGATTGTTTCTTTAGTGATTCCCATTCTTTTTCATTCTTTTACTTCCAAATTATTAGGGATCCACATTCTCCTACAGATAAAAAACTATTCTTAACTTTGTTACTCTTTACAATACATGTTACTGTTAAGAGATGACCTTTTAGTTTTGTTATTTCTGAAATATTTCTCTAATCGAACTTCCAAACCCTAATCTTGTTTCCACATCCAGTAAATAATAAATCATTCGTTTTATTAAAGGTTAAGGTATAACAAGGATCTCTTTGTTTGGTGATGTTATTAATCTAATTTACTTCTAAAGTCTTATGTATTTCATCATAATTCTTTTTATAAAATCTTCTAATATTATTTATGACTTTATCAGAAATCTTATCTATGTTTTAAGGTAATGATGCAATTTGATTTCTCAGTTTTCCAAATTAATTAATAATCTCTTCTCTGATTTTATTTATCTTATCATTTTCCTCTTTTGATTTATCAATTTCTTTTAAATGGATACTCACTTCCTCATAGAAACTGAATTAGAAGTTTTACTATCTTTGATTTGTTAATGATTCTATCAATTTATTTGTTGCTTTTTTCATTGACTCTAACTAACACTATATTTTTTCTATAAATTCCTGAACATTCTCTAATTATTTTATGCTTTCCTAAAGCAATTAATCAGTTTTTTCACTTCTCTCTTTCTTTTATTTTCTGATTGTATCATATATATTATCAAATGTCAGAGGTTATGATGAATCACGATTTTTCATACATTCTTCGCACACTAATCTCTCTTGTTATGTTAAATTTTGATCTTTTAAAATATATTTTGGCGGTTTCTTATGATTTTTGCAAACCAATTCTTCAGGTTTTTCTATCATTTTCAATTCAACATCATTATTCATTAATTTTAATATTGAAATACAGAATTCCATAAATCATTTTAATATCACAATATAATTCAAATATAAAATACATTAATTAAGATTTAATTTATATATTTATTATTATTATGTAAATATTAAAAAATGATTTCTAATAAATATTTATATTTATATTTAATGATTAATATGTTATTTATAACATAACAATAATTTATCAAACTTAAACACTACGTGTATGTTTCTTAACTGTTCCAAAATATCTATCTCCAAAATCTCCGATTCCTGGAGCTAAATAATTACTCTCTTTTATCAATATTGGATCGACTTGAGCTGTAATTATTCTAATATTTGGATGTTCTTTAAAGACTTTATTCAATCCTTATTCACAACTAACTAAAGTCAAAAATATTATATTTTCTTCCTTTACACCATAATTTTTTAATATCTTTAAGGCCATACTTGCACTTCCACCTGTTCCAAGCATTGGATCCACTAAAATAATTTATTACTCATTTATATTCTCTGGAAGTTTCTCAAAGAAATATTTAGGCATCGATGTCTCTTCATTTCTTTAAATTAATATTTATCCAATTGATGCCCCTGATATCACTCTTAAACCTTCATTCAAAAATGCATTTCCTGATCGAAGTATACTTACAATACATATTCTAAAATATAAATACAAAATATATACTCTTAATCAGAGAATTTGACTTCATTTGCATCATAAAATCCCAAAGGCGATTGCTTTACAGAATTCTATTTTTCTAATTAAGCCAAAGCTTATTCCATTAAAATTCTAATCAATCGATCTGCGTTCTTTCTGAATGTCTAAAAATATCTTAATTTTTAATTACCACAATATCGGTATTAGCTTCTCTCATCAAAGATAGAATATGTTCAGTCTAATTTCTATTAAGAATCGACAAGTTTTGATGTTTGTTCAATAAGTTATGTAATTCATTTTCACTTAGAAAATTGTAATGTTGCATTTTATTATGAGAATGGTCATTCTTTAATTAAGAACACATTAAAAAGGTCCCATTAACTAATCCTAAGCAGCAAGCTAATTTTGCAAGGTTTTTAAACATTTTTAATATACTTATTATTCATTTTTTAGAACCAAACCATAAGTATTTCAATAATACATTTTTAATTAATTCTAATATCTTCTATATTATATCAGATCATATTTTAATCCTAATAATGTCTCAAATGGAATATTTTATAATATATATAAAAACAGGATGAATATCCTTCAAATATCATTTTTGTCTGAGAAACGTTAAAGTTAATATATATATATATATATATTTGATTAATAAGAATATCAATAACATTTTTTAATTTTAAAAAAAGGATGGATTTCCAGGATCTGTTGTTTATTTGTGATTCAGGCAAAGAGAATTGAAAAAGGACATCAAAATCACTGATTTAGAAGATAATTTAATTAAAATAACATCAACCTAAACATATTATGAAAGTAATATATTAAATTAACACAATATTAAGTTGATTAATTTTGAAAGTCTTTCACTATTCTTTAGTGTAATTTGTTTTTCCTTTAATTTTATTCATTCTCAGGATTACTTTTAACAAAATGATGAAATATTAAACACATCCTATAAAAGGCATATGATTTAATTATATTATGATAAACAGCATAATCTTTAAGGAGATTTAGCATATTTAGATATTATTATTGATAATTAAACTAGATGAACAAGTTTATTCAATTTCTATATTTTTATTAGATACATCACCATTTACTAATAATACGGTTGCGAAAATTCTAAAATGGAATTGTAAGAGATCTAAGTTATTACACCAAGAAGTTATGTAAATAATATGTGCATTAATTTTGCAAAATATTAATACATCTTATGTTAATTTTGTTTATTGATTATAAATTTAGGTTATTTTAGAGCAAAATATAATTTGTGCAAAGAGGAAACTTAAATTGATCCCCTGGTTTAGATTGTTCCTTAGATTACTGATCTAGTTTTAGAGGAACTATCTGATTGAAACACTTAAGTGTTTTAGATATTAAAATTCAATGATACTTATAGAAAGAAATTAATATTGAAAATAATGAAATTTTAATTTCCTTGTGCTAATATTATTTATTCTTTAATTCCAAATATAAATTTCTTGGATTCATATCCATCATAGATAGGTTACCAAGTTATAAGTTACTCATATTTTGGATGTTCTTTTTATCTCCAAAAAGTAATACATGTAGACAATAAGTCTGAATGAAAGTTTTCAACAACCAATAAATTTGCCCCTGTCTTACTTTTTAAACTCTCTTTACATTTCCACCCGTTATTTTTGACTCTAAGCTACCAAAATCTTGTCTAAACTTGATGATATTACTGAATCATCATTTCTTACAAGAAAAAATGAAATTACTCTTTCTTTAATTCCGCCAATTATGTATTAAATTTCGAAGTATTTTACCAAAATTCCAAAACTAACATAAGTTAATCACTTCCACCAGCAACAAGAAATCTGATAATGAACCAAATGTAATTAGGTTTATTAAAAATCATAATTAAATAAAAATAAGTAGATTTTATAAAAGATTTAAATTAAATTTTCAGTTATTTTAAAAAATTGTAAAATAAAATATCTAGATTATGATTGATATTAAAGAATATTATTCAAATTATAATAATTATTATATTTTATAATAAGTATTTATTTAATTTTTTTATAATTTTCTATTTAATTATTGCATTTTTTTAGGTAATGAACCAAATTATCATTTGAATTTGATAGATTTAAGAAGTAATATAATTTATAAAAGTTTATAAATGTACTTATTTATTTAATCTCAAAATTATTACTAATTATTAATTTCTATAAAAGATGCTTTACTAGTTGTAATTGATTTAAGATAAGGTCTTTTGGTAAAAGATCTGGTATAGATATATAAAATTACATATTTTCTTTTTTCTCATTTTCAGTCTTAATTAATAAGATTTATCTCATCTTTTGAATATTCACTTATAATTATTTTTTTTTTTCAAATTCTTTATCTAAATATATTCCTAAAGTGTTAATCAAATTTAAATTTAAATTTGATTGCTTTAGAAATGTATGAAACTTTGCTAATATTAGTAATGAATATTTTTTAGAGTAAATAATTGTAATTTCTTTTATAAATGGAAATCCAAGTCGAAACAATAATATAATCAAAATAATTTAAAGGATCATAGAAAAAACATTATTTTGTAAGACTTAACTTTCATACTTAGTTGCAGCAAGAAAAATTGCTAATAAGCAAATTTATCCAGATTATAAATCTAAATTATTCAATTTGGATATAATATAAGGTTTATTATTTATTGCTAAAACTTAATATGATTATAAACATAAGCCTAATAATGTTGTTTTTAATAAGGCACTGTTTTCAAAATTAGTTATTACTAATATAATACATACCTTCTATATCAACTTAATCTATTCCCAATAATATTTTTTATCATTGTATTCATTAAATAAATAACAAATATGTTTTCTTAGTTTTAACTTATCTAAGTTAAATCTATTAAAAAACATTATTAAAAATAATGTAAATGGAATAATACATCCAAAAGTTAACAAAAGTGGTATAATCAAAAAGTAAATCCACAAATAATGTTCTTATCTATCGAATAATAATGATACATCTCCTTAAATATAATTAATATTGGATATTTATCTAAAGGACAATTCAGAACATAACCTAATTTAAAATTCTTTTTTACATTTTTATTAATCCTCCATAATTAAAAACATATAAACAAAGCAGAGTGTTTGATAGTAGACTTTTATCCATATCCTATTATTATAATTTATGATAGATAAATAAAATAATAAGCATAAAATAAAATTATAGCAACATCAATAATAATATAAACATAACTTTAATGTATATTAAATGAATTTGTAGATCTGATAAATAACAATCTAAATTATTTACCATAAAATAAAAGCTATTACTTGATTATTCAATAAAAAATATTGAAAATGAAAAGCTAATATTAAAAGTAAATATTGATGAAAATATCCATAAGTAATTTAAAAAAATTTTAATTAATATACCCTCGTGATCTTAATTTAATTTAAATAGTATTTTACTAAACTTTTTCTTAAAAATGCTTAATGAATTAAATAAAAAATTTGATTTATTTATACTTTTCAACGATAATGTTATAGATAATAATGCCCTAAATTTATTAATATATTATACTAAAATAAAGCTAGTAAAAATGGAAGGATGCTACTCTCTTCACTAGAACATGAAACACATAATTAATTTTATTAATTTTTGAAAAATTATCCTTCTCCTCTTATATTATATACATCACACATTTCACATAAAGCACCAACATGTCCCATTTTACAGGTATCATCTCCAACTCTCCATCCTCCTAAACAAAATTCAGTATTCTTATAACATTCCTCTGTAAAATCAGATAAATAATCAGGTCTCCAATAACCTTATTTTAAATCTATCATATTAGAAGTAATGTTTTAAAATTTAGTTTTATCAAAGACCGAACATTTAATAGCATCATAAGTAACACTGTAAAATCCTTAACTAGATTTGCAAATCTAACAACCACTTTCAATATAGAATTCTCCTAACTAACATTTAAAGCTTTTTGCATTAATGATATATTTTAAACCTTACTGAGATTTTTAAGTCTTACAAAATATTTAAATTGATAAATGATTGTAGTTTTGTTAATATGGATCAAGCCGAAAGGATAAGGTATTCAATTCAAAATTATTATACATAGTCTAATATAATAACACTGAATTTTTAATATATCCTTATTTTTCTTAATTGTCATTTGTTACGATGAAATCTGATACTTCACAAGTTGAATTATAAATATTATAGAGTAATTCTCCTTTGCTATTTTTGAAAAAAATGTTCAGACTTTTTATGTAAGGTAAATATGCAGCCTTTTAGAGAACAAATAATTAATATGTATCGATAACCTATGTACTAGGAATCATAAGTATATCAGTTAATTTTGATATTCCTTATTCTATAACTTTATATGGTGTTATCTTTAGGATACTAGTTGAAATATTATTCATTTTTAGATCAACAGCAGGCATTGCTTTTGAATTAATGAATAATTGCAAATAATTAGGGTTTTCCACTAAATTATTTCCATATACTTAAGCTTTATTGAATAATATAAAAGTAGAAGTAATACTTTTAATGGAGATATCATTATCCTGTTCAAAATAAATTCCTCCTCCTTCTTACGCCTAATTTTCAATTATGATTGTATTTTAAATAAATAATTATTTAGTATTTAGTAGCAAATACATACCTCCACCTTAAGTAAATGCAAAGTTAGAAATAATTTTACATTAATTTAACTTTAAATGAACATCACTACATTTTATTGCAACTCCTTAAGTTCCAATATTTTAAATAAAATTTGAATTCTTAATATGAATTAAGTGTGATGCATTTTAATTTCCAACAATATTTAAACATCCAAATTTCTTTATATAATTCAAATTACAATCAAATTTAGAAATTCGGAATATCTTAAAATAGATTTCATCAAAATGTATGATTCCCTATTAAATAATTGAATAATTATTGTTTTAAAACATGATAGTATCAAAAACTAAAACAGTTAAGTTTGACTCACTCCTAATATATACTATTGAAGTTTGCTTTTGTTTTTATTATAAAAGCTTTATTAAATTGCTGTAAAAATAATTTTTCTATATAAATTCAACAGAAAAACTCATTATAAAACATCCAGATATGAAATAATTTGTTTAGTGTTATTAGTATTCGTAATTTAGCTAATTATTGACAAGATACATAGATCCATTTTAGAAATTTAATGAGTTTAAGAATACAAAATATTTCTATTAAGAGGTTTAAGTAATTTCAATTAAATTTTATGTGTAAATATTCAAAATATTTTAAAATGTGCAATTAAAAAATTTTAAAGTATTTATGTTATTTAACTGAAATACACTAGAAAAAAGCATTCCTTCAATATAAAAATCCTCTATAGAAAGATCACAATTTTCTAAATAAATCATAGTATTATCATTTCCAGTAATTTCTAAAATTTCAGAATCAGACAATTCTCCAATATACTAAAATAAATTTATCCAAGACTCTTAATTTTAGTAAACTATTAAATTTATAAATACAATTTAATTTTATTTATTAATTTAAGAAATAAACTAAATTTTAACAATCTAATTTTTTAATGAAACACAATCAATAATTAACATATTTTAGAATATCATTTTATTTTATAATAATGAAGGATTTATTGTTAGTATTGATGATGACATTCTATTAAGAATGTTCTAAAATTTAGCATTTTGAATTGTAAGATTTAATAAACTATTTTAAGCATTAATACTTAAGCATCCTGTATTTTCAATTCTTTCTTAAAAGTTGGTTCTTGTTTTATAAACCGATAGATTTTATATCATAATTATTCCATCACTTGAAGTTACAATATCAAAAACAGAACTTTTCACAGCCATTATTTCTTCAAAAGTCGAATTGATACATGAAAAATTAGATGATTAGATATATGCTGCTCCTCCAATAGTTTTTATTTAAAATATCTACATAATTAAAGATTAAATCTATTCCTAATTCATTGGTATTAAATTATAATAGTAATTCCAAATATTTATAGGTAGTATATTATGATATTTTACATATAGATTATTTATTATTAAAGATTTTGTTGCAATATAAATAAAAGAATTGGATGAATTAGTCATTGCATTTTATTTGCATTATAAATTTTCTATATTGATTGTACTTGCTAATGTTGAGATATACAATAATGCAGCTGAATCTTTTAGAGAATTTTCATAATATACATGCATGATATTATTTTGATAAACTAAATTTTTAATTACAATATCCAAGGTTTTATCAGAAATAATTGTAATAAGTGAAAAATAATTGATTGAATTTAGAGATTGTAAGAGATTTCCATAAAATTCTAAATTAAATATTTTAATTTATCCTACTTAATCTTAGTAATATTAACTACTAGACATGATTTTAATTATTGATTCATCTATACTTTATATCTATTTTATTTTAAAATAAGAAATAGATACTTTATTAAAACCAACTATTTAGAATATTTAGTTTTAAAAATTAAGATTTTTTAAACAATCAGTTTTTACAGATATCTTTTCTTCTATTTCAGAATTCTCAAAATTAAAATTTTCAAGTTGTATATCATTGATATCATAAAGATAAAGAGTATGTATTTTTTTATTTGAATTGATTAAAAATTTGTTCAAAATAATTATCTTTGCATTGATATTAAATATATAACTTATCTAATCTACATTATTTATAATAAATCCATCATTAAATTCAATAATTACATCATTAATCTTTACAAATAAATCACTTGACTAAAATTATGAAAAAAATTTAAATAAATTTGAACTTTGTAATTTATTATTTCTTATGATAAAATTAATCATTGTACAAGATGCAAATTGTTGATTTGTCATTTAAATTGTTGACATAAATGATGATTCAATAAATATATTATTTGATATTTCAATATTAGATGACTATAAACCAGAACTAAATCCAAAAATAATAGAATCTAATAATTAATTATTATCAAGGATCAAATTGCTAGAAATAACATCAACTTATTATGAACAATAAAAAAAATAAGACCTTATAAAATTATTTCTAAAAATTGATGCACTTAGTATAAAAATCTTAATATCCAAAGGATTATTAGCTCTAAAATAAAAAATAGATGAATTTTATAATTAGCATTAATCAATAGTCAGATTTATGAATTGAATTGGATTTAATACATAAGAAAATTCAAATAAAATTGAATTTATAAAAGTACAATTTTATATGTATAATTGATTAATTTTTATATCCCCCATTAAGCTACTAATTTTAAAGTTAAAAAGTGATGAATTAATAAATTGAGAATTAATTATTGATACATTTTATAAATCTATATAACCAAATTTAGAAGTTTTAAATAAAGATTAAATATTCTTAATTGAACTATCCTTCAAAGTTATATTTATTAATGTTATATTTACTTAATTATAGCTGTTGCTGATATTAAGATCAAACTATTCAAAATTTGGGAAAACAATACCATAATCAATCATTGTAAATGAGTCATATTCTTCAAAAAACAAAGAGTTGAAAATATATAAGTAAAAAGGATAAGTTGTTAATAATTTTAAATTAATTGTCTATAAAGTAAATACATGAAATTTTAAAGAAGCTTGAGTAACTATTGAAGGGAATAGAATACATGATTCATCTTCTATTTCTATTCTAATAATTATTGTCATAGAAACAGCTCCAATACTATTCAAATATTCTGTATTAATTCCTTAATAATTTAAGTTTCTAGGAAATCTATTAAAAAAACAACTATATTCAATAAATTCATAAGTTAGTTCATTATCACAATCTCCTTATAAACAATATTAAACCATTTTCGAATAAGGGTCGTAATCTATATTTGGATCCATATAAGGAATAATACATTCTGCTGTATAGATAGGATTAATATTTGCAATATCAAGTAAAGGAGCCATTATCTGATTATCATAAATATATATTTACCAGTGTTGGTATTTCATCACGTTTTATGCACACTTAACAAAGTGGGGAACATATTTAACACATTTAATTTGGAGTATTTACTTAAAATGATATACTTGGTATTTAACATTTAAAACAAGAATGTTCTCCTAATGAGTATTTACAAGATTAACAATAATATCCACATGGAGTTAAGTTATTAGTATTATCATTATTCTATTCATAATTAAAAATGCTTATCAAAAAGCTTTCTATTTTTAAATTCCAATATTAATTTAAATAATTAGGATTTTATTCTTAACTTTCATAACATGATCCATCTTATAATATATATCCAGATTCACATGTTATGCATTTTATCTATTATTTTCTATCTAAAAAACATAATGAACAATATAATATGTATTAATTACAAAGAGTAATTTCTGTTGAAATTTTAAAATTATCTAAAGAAGATGTTAAACATATTTCTTCATTTGTTACATTCGTATATGAAGTTATACAATTTTCTATCTTTGAAGCCTTTTTTACACATATTCCAAGATTGAAATCAAAATTAAAATCTTTTTCACATAACATACAACCAATTTTTGGATTATACACTTAATATAATATATATTGTTAATTTAGGTTAATTACGAATTCATAATCTACTTGATATTCAAAACAATAAAGACAATTCTCTATTGTGCATAGACTACATTTCTTAGCAAATGATGGATAATATGGAGGTTAACATTATGAATAATTAAAATCTTAAACTTTATAGATACATGTGCCATTAAAAAGAACATACTTATATTTACATTATAAGCAAATGAAATTATTATCTATAGTTACACCACAAACTTCACATTCTATATGTCTACAAGGATAACAAGAACTCTCATCATAAGTAGTAAGTTCTGCAGAATTACAAAAAGATTAGAAACTTTTAATATGTAACTTAAACTGCTCATAAAGACCATATTCATCTTGAATACTATTCTACCATTCCATAGGATCATAAGCAGAAATTAAATCAGAACCATCAAAAAAAAAAAAATTTCTCATACCAGGAAATTTTTCATTTGTTGATATTGTTGTTAGTTCTTAAATAATGTCGCAGTATGGATATTCTTACCATGTAGATAACAAAAAATAACATTCAAAGCAAGTTACTAAATTATTATAGATCATTGAAGGACTATAAATAATAGAATTATATTTACCATTTAATACATTCTCCATCTATTTCAAAATAACCAAATTTACATTTTGTTTTTTTTCTTTGTCTAACATTTAATTATAGATTTTAGTCCCTAAAATTAATGCATTATTAATATTCATCAATTGAATCTTTTGGACAAACACATTTTTTATATTCTGGTATGTATATTCTATTTGATTCCTCAGAACAATTTAAACAATCATATTTATTAGGACCATCACATTCTTAACAACTATAATGACATTTGTATTATTTTAAATCTTGCATACAATTATTAAATAACAAATTTCTTACTATTACATCTATGTAATTTAAATTTGATTATTAAATATTTCCATAAGTTATTTTTAATTAATAATTATCAAATTACTTTATATCAATTGTTGTTTCATATGATTAAGTATATTGACCCTCATAAAATATTATTGAAAATTCTAATACACTTTCCTACAAATTTATTAATATATATTGCCATGAAGTAATCGAATTATAAATAGGTAATTCCCTTCTAATTAGAAATGGATTATTTGAAAAGTCTTAAGTAACAGAAGGAAAATCATATTTATATGTTGTAATTATTATTTTATTTTGAATAGGTGAGATATGATAAAATAGTTAAAATGTAGCTAAATTTTCATTTTATAAACCATCTAAGATTGTACTTATTTTCATAAATTAATAAGTAAACTCTTCTGAGGTTTGATAAATATTAGATATCTATAACCATCCAGCTATAGTATAAGTATTACAATTAATTTTCATTGAAACATTAGTCAATTAATCAAGAGAAATTAAATGAGAATCTTAATTTATATTTTTTTTATCCCAATCACATTAACAAGTTTCAATCCTTTAAAAATATTGAGTAATTTTAGACCAATAATCAAAATCTATAGATATTCTTTTCATCTCATTGTTATATACTATTATCTAACCTGGATAAATTGAAAATATCCTTCCTTATTCAATTTATGGGATATTTGAATTATCTACTTTTAAACTTCCTCCAAAAGTTAATATTAATTTTTAATCTCTATTAGGCATAGCAAGTTCTATAGTTTCTTTTAAAATTTAATTTAATTAAGAGTAAATTGCTAATTCTACTTTCTTTTTAGATATATAACTTATAATTTAAAAAAAGAACCAAATATCATCATATTATGAGGGTTCTATTTATTTTGAGAATATAAACTATTCAGTTTAAGAAAATCCTATTTAGATGAATTTTTTAATCTCTTTTGTCGTATCATCAAGACAATCATAGTAAATAAAATTTAGACTTTATGTTTCATTATCGACAGAATTAATTAATTAAAAGCAATTACTGTCAAATATTCCATATGCATTCTTCAAAGTTGCATTACCTAATGGACTATATTTGGACCAAATTCCAAAGGTAAGGCAATTCTAATCTGATTCATCTATATCCGTTTATTCAACTATTGTTTTCATAATTAAGGCTGACTGGTTTAAAGCTTTATTTTTCAAGGAATATTATGCCTTTAAAGGGTATAATATCAATAGAAAAATAAAAATCATTACAGAATTAATATAAAATTAAATAAATAAATAATTATAAATAAATTAACCATCTGAATCGTTATCTTTAATATAAATTAGTAGAGAATATTTGAATCATTGATTATGAATAATCATAATGATATGAAAATCAAACATGAAATATAAACTACAATTAAAGATATTTCTATTTATTGATAATGAAAATATAACGAAAAAGAACTACGTTAATAAATAATATAGACCCTAAATTAATAATTTTTTATTTATTAATAATAATTTAGAATATCTCCAAATTTATGGAATCAATTTACTTAAAGTTATGGGACTTTAATATTAATTTAACTACCTATTCTGAACTCTTCATTTATTGATAACGGACTTATAGATTTCAAACATAAAAATCCATTATTTTTATCGTTTACTAATTCCTCTTCTAATTCTGAAACAACATTTCTATTTCGAGAATTTAAAATGTCATATCTTTTTATTGATCCTTATAAATTCTCCATTTATTTTGTTATTCTTATTGGATTAATCAGTATCTCTGTAATATCAAGAAATTTATCTATTTTTATAGATTAATTTAAATATAATTATCTTGAAGCTGATGAAATAATCAATTTATATATATTAAGTTCTTCATTACTTTTAGATCTATCATCATTTATAACATTATTTTATTAATTTGATAAACAATTAGCTAAATAAAGTCTATAACTAATGAGTTAGAAAGGAAATAGAACTACATCAAAAATTACTCTTAAAATTGTAAATAGTCCTCCAATTTTTGCAGCTACATCCATCAAAGTTTAGTAAGTTATAAAATGTATTTTTTTCTTTGCATCTAAATTTAGTTCAAATAATGCTATATTATTATTGTCTTCATAATTTAATGTACTGTCAATTGCAGTATTTTCATATTCAATTCCTTCAAGCTATTTAACTTAAGGGAAAAAATAAAAAGGGTTATATTCTATATAACTTTAAGAATATTTAAAATATATTCTAATATACTTTCCTACTTTATTAAAAATAGGAGTAGAGTCTATACTTTATGCTTTTTAGTAAGGGGAGTCTTCTTATTCTTTATTAAAATAATGGAATGAGTAAGAATAATATAGATTTGAATTTGTGATATATCTATCAATTTCATCAGATGAAGCACAATCTAATATTTTTATAAATAAATACTTTAATTCAATGTGTTATTTTAACATCTTTAAACTAGTCCTCCAAATTATGAGAAATTTTCTAATTTTGGTGATCCTTAGATTTGTATTTCAGGATTTTTATTTAGATATTCTTCATCTATACAATATGTAATATCTAAATATTTTTGAGGTATTTCTAACTATTATTAATATGATATTAAAAATACCAGAGAAATATTAGAAGTACGATTTCCACAAATAATACTTGGAATATTTATACAATTATTTTCACCATATTATTTTTAGCAAAAGTAAAAACTGATTGTAAATATTCTATTTTTATCATTTGGAATAGGTTGGCCCAAGCTGTCTACTAATCCAGCAGCAAATATTAGTTCAGTAGAATGAAAAGTATAACCCTATTATGTAATCATCATATATTATACATCAGTTGTATCAATAACTGAATCTTTTGAATTTAATACAGCATTTTTTCCTTTGTTCATCTCTAAAATAAAAGAATTACTAGAATAAGCTAAAATGGAAAATAAAATTAGAGTCATAAATGCTCCAATTTTTGTTCTATATGCTGATTGACCATCAGCTTATAATCTTATTTCTTGTCCAAAAATGTCAAATCTCCTAAATTATTCAGAAATTTGGTTCATTAATTAATTGTTTCAAATATTAAAAATTATTCTAAATTATCATAGTATTTCATATATTTTTTAAATTTTAATTTGGAAATAAAAGAAATAAAATAGAATATAAACACAAATTAAATTATGATGATATTATAACACTTTTGTTATTTTAATTAATATTATTTTTAATTACTCATTCTTTATGAAAATAGATATATTTTTTAAGAGATCAAATTAAAGTAAATATACTTTAAATAAATGACTCAAAAATGTTTTAAATTCTTTTAACAATTTAAAATACACAAAATATCCTCATCCATGTTGGAGTCTAAGTTTTTTTTATCCTTCAAATTAAATATTAATTTAGTTTTTTTTTAATTCTGTAGTTATTAATACTTAAGATTTTGTTCCTTCATATACTAATTTTTAGATTCCAGAACATTAAATATTTAGTTGTTAACACTTATTGATTTATTTTAAGATGTACTCTGAAAGTAAAAATAAATTATTCCAATTGATTAATTTTAATTCTCAAGTATTAACTTTTGATTACTACTTCCTATATTTTCTTATTTGTTTTATAGTTTTATTATAAACTTTTATTTCTTTTCCTATTTGTTCTAATGCCATTAATTATTATAAATGCCAATCATATTTATTTGGTACAAATTATAACAATATTAATAGAAATATTTATTTAATATAAATGAACCCATATAAATTTGTAAGCAAAAATTGTTTAGATTTAGCTTAGTACTTTTATAATAAAAGAATCTTAATTTCTTTTTAAGTATTTATTAATTTTATCTACAAATGTTTAGGAATGAAACATATTAATTATATAGAATTATTATCCTAAGAATTCATAAGTATCAATTTAGTGTTTAGATTTATAAAATTATTATAACTGAATTTTTGCTTCATTTTTTTTTATTTAAGTTCAATTATTGAAATTTCTTTTTTATTATTTATTTTTTCAAAAAAATACAAAAATTATGTCATCTGAAGTGATTACAGATATTGTTTAAACAATCTTAAAGGATTAATTAAATGAAATTTAAATGAAACTCACAAATTTAGAATAAAAAGTAATTAATATTGAAAGTTAACTGAATACAGAACGGAATAAAAATCATAAATCTGCATAAAATCTCAAAACTAGTTTTACCAGTTTGGAATCCTAATTCAAATACATAATTTTTGAATTGAATGAAGCCTAAACGATGGCTAATTTAGTTATGGAAAAAACAGAGAAAAAAATTATGGAGACTCAATAATTAAAAATAACATAAAATAAACAATTTGATGAATTATCAAAAAGTTTGAATATTCAAAAAAATTTAGAATAAATAAACTCAAATATATTGTAGTTTGCTATACCACCATAATAACTTAATTAAAATTGTTATTCATCTTAAGAGCAAAATTAATATTAATACCAAGAAGAAATGGTTTATAAAACATAAAGTGGAGGTAAGTATCATAAATAAAATTGCAATATACTATCAAATTATCCAAGTGTTAAACTAAATATAAAATAGGCTTTAAAATAAGGATTAACAGGTTGTAAGATCTGTAAAGCATGATTATTAATATAAGATTTCAATAAATATTTAGAATATCTACTTTAAATTCTTTATATATAAATTAATTGTTAGATTCTGGAGATTGTTCCATTCTTAAACTTATCAACATAAAAATATTATTACTTTATTGTGATATTATTATTTAATTATTATAATTAATTGGAATTATAATTTTTTAGTTTTTCATTAATGTTGTCAATTAATTATTGATATTATGATGATAATATGAAAAATAAAAAAAATGATTATATTGATACCTAATAGGATTAATTTATTAAATAACATTTTTTTAATTCCAATCCTATTTTTTACCATTTCCCCTTGAAAATAAAACAAAGTTTTCTTAAATAATAAAATTAAGAAACTTAGTAATACTATATATATATTATCAAAAGGTATTAATATAGAAGTTCATTTCATTTTTATGACAACATCCTTTAATTTTTCAAATTCATAGTTTTCATTTTAGCAATTTTTAATTGCTTATTCATATGTTTCAGCAGCTAATTTATATTCTTTCATTTTTTATAATAAATAGCCTTTTTTATATTTTATAAATACCTTATTTTTTATACGCTATTTCATAAGTTTTGTCTATATTCAATGCTTTTGTGTAATAGAATAAAGCTTCAAAATTTTACTAAAGACACTATAAAGACAAACCTATTAAAATTATATCATATTCAACCTTTATTATAATATGTTTTTGCATTAAATGGATCTATATGTATTGCTTAATCAAAACATTCAACTGCTTATTGATATTATTTAATTCTATTTAATGAATAACCTATTAATATTATATAATATTAAACCTTTATTATTATAAGCTGAGGCAAAATTAGGATCTAAGTTTAATGCTAAATTGTATTCATTAATGGCTTCTTGATGTTTCCCTTATAATTGTAAAGAATATGCTTAAAATTATAGCAAAATAAACTACCTTTCTAAAAATGACCAATACAATATTACTTTCTGGATTCAAGAACATTTTCAATACATATAATAGCTTGATCATATTGTTTTTAATCCTATAAAACATAGCCTACTTTTGTAAATTAAATAGTACTTTTTTAATAACAGGCATGGGGATGTCTAGGCTACTCATTCAAAACTATTTAACATTATTCAATCGCCTAATCATATTTCTATTGACCATTTAATGCATAACCTAAAGAAATTACTGATATAATTAACTTTTTATGATAGATATAAATTTATTCTTTGGCTTCTTCTTAAATGCCTGATCAACAAATTCCGATAGTTCATTATATAAGTTTCCATTCATTTTAATTGCTTCATCTCTTTTTATCATACCTTTTCCTGGTTAATTGTTTTCAATTAAGGCAATGCCTAAATTATATATATTACGTGTACTTTAAAGGAATTTAGCAAAAGATATATTTTTATTAGATTCATTTATATGTTTTTCTATTAATTTTTCTGCTTACTACCATTATTAAACATTTAGTAAATGTATTGCTAAAATTTATTAATAAATAAATACATTATTTTAGTACTTTTAAGTTATAGTATCCTGGTGTTTATTCTATTTCTAAAGTCTTAATGAATTTTTTGGTATCATTTAGTTTACATTCTATTTAAATTTATATTTAATTACTAATTTAATTCTATTTTGAAGAATCTTTTTTATTATTCAAATAATCATAAGCCTCTTTCATAAAATTGATATTATTTTTAATATTTTTAAAATCTCGTTATGTTAAAACATCTAAAATCATTTTGATATGTTTTTGTTAATTCCCTAAATAAGAATTAAGTTCTAAATATTTCTTCTGGAAAATTTCATGGGACTTATTCAATGATTCCTGCAATTTATCTATTATCTAACCAAAACTATCGACTATAGTAGTGATATTATCAAATTATTGTAAGTCATTTTTGCAAGAGATGTGTGTATTAGTGTCTTTAAAGCATTTAAAGCAACACTGAGATGGTTCGGAGCAACCAAAATTTAAACAAAATCCTTCTATAGATTGTCCTTCATGATTTTCTTTCAAACATGTAAACTCTTTTAATTAACTCATTAATTTTATTTAATTTATTATATTATTACAATATAAATTTGGCTTATATATTAATTTTATTAAATCTTAATCACTCTAAAATAATATAATAAAGATATAGGTGTAGTCATAAATACATTCATATCCTACATTAGCATTTCCTCTCTGTTTAATACCCTAGAGAATAATTTATCATATATTATATATTATATATAATTACTTATCAAATTTATAAAGTAGATAATTCTACAAATAGCATCTGTCTTATAGTATAAATTAATAATTTCAGAAAAAGTATATAAACTCTATTTACTTTAAATCCTTTTATTATATAACTTTGCTATATAATACATTCTTTAAAAGAGATATAGTCTGCTTTATGTCTTAATTATCAAAGTCTCATTGTAAAATAATATAATTAAGTCACATTGGATTCAAATCTACTTTATAGACCTCATTTAAGTGTTGTAAATTATCCCTCCTTATAAATAGAATAATTATATCCTACTCCAATTTTAAAAGATAAATATTAATAATTTCTCATATCCTTTGGTTGAATCTCATCTATTAAAAATAAATTTTATAATTTCTATTATTTATGTTGAATAATAAATATATTTTTTATAAAAATGATTAATAATCATAATAATTTTTTTATGACTGTAAGACTAGAAGTTGTGTTATAGATTTGTTAATTTTTGGATATTACAAGTTATTTATAGCTACGTTTATTAAATTCAGATATGAACTTTCTAGTGAAATTGATAAGTAAATAAAAAATAAATGAAATCAGATTTTGTTTAATAAATTTATATGAAGATAATTAAAAAATACTAAAATGCATGAATCTAATAGAGTAAGATAAATAACAATTAAGATAATATTGGACAAGTATTTTTAATAAGAAAAATTTAATTGAAATAAAAGTAATTTCATCACCACCTTAAATGTTAATAGAGATTATCAAATATTTTATTTTATTGATGAATCCTATTGATAAATTGAGCGAGGATAATTATTTTTCATGGATATAGTTTAAATAATGGGTGGCAAATATAGATATATTAATAAAAAGAATATTTGAATTTGAAATTGAAAGAATCTCAAAATAAAAACTGAAGATTTTGTAATAGATATATGAATTAAATTAAAAATATCCTCGTTATTGGTTGGATGGTATTGAATTTATGTATTAATATATTGGATCAATAATTGATGTAAGAAAGAGAGATTATTACGATATTTATTATGATTATTAAACTAAATTGTAATTATATGATAAGATGATTTAATAGTTAGAAAAATTAGATCAAAAATTTTAAAATGAGATCCAATTATGATGATAATATTGATTATGCTTTTTTATTATTTTATTTAAGTTTATTGTTATTTATCTAAATTGGAATCTCTCTTCGATTCTAAATTCAATTTAGCACATTATATTTAATTAGGTTGACTTTAATTTATAAGAAATAATCAAAAAATTATTCTATTTATTTAAAATCATCTTTTTTAATTAAATTAAAAAAAAAGCACAGAAATTAAGATCAAATTTAATTGTATATTATATAACTTTTAATTATTTTGTACTTCTAACATAATTACTCTATATTTTTAACAATCACTATTCCTTTATATTAGATCCCCCCTTTGAATTTTAATTAACTGTAAATATTTTCCAATATACTTCTAATCTTAAAATTCAAACCATTTTTTTCTTGAAATTCTATTTTTTTATATTTAGTTATTTCATATTTTAGATGATTATTTTTTTTTAAAACATCTAATATAATATATTATTATATTTTAATAATATCATAATTTATTTACTTTCTAAATAAACATTAAGTTATTAGAATATTATTTTCGTTACTTCTTATCTTATTAGTCTGCTTGATTATTATTAAATATTATCTAAATAATCAATAATATTCTATCCAATAATATTATTCAAAATTGAAATTATATGTTAATAAACAATAAGAAAAGATTTTTTTTTCCTTTTTGTGTATTGAGGTAAAGTAAATATCAATTTCCAAATATTTACTTATAATAAATTGGTTTATTACAAAATTTTTGGCTATTAGATTTTTCCTATTAATATCCTTTTATTTTTTATAATAATTAGCCATATTGAAAAAGGATTTATTTTATTAATCCTTTTTAAGCAATTAATCTAAAATAATAACTATTTATATGTACAAACTTTTTACATTGTATTATTCTAAAAATGAAAATACAGATTTCCAAGAATTACTTATGCCATTTTCATATGCTACTAGATTTTATATATTTCTGAAAATACCATTTTAGATGACTTATAGCGGTATTTTTTAGTCATCTTCATAGCATTTTTATGGAGAACTTCATTTAAAATGTTACAAAAGGGAGATGCTGTGTATTAATTTATTATAATAAGACACATATTTTGATACAAGAATTGATTTATTAAATATTAGTATTTTATATTAATGAGTTATTAATAATATGATTCTTCATAATATAAATTAGAGCTTTGTATGAAAAATTTTTAACTTGTTTTTCTTTTCTAATCTTCATTAAAAAATGGCTATAACAAATTATATTTACTTATCATGAATAAAGGATTTAAATTGAACTCTAAAACTTAATCTTAATCACTCAAATTCTTTCAGCATGATTAAAATACTATCATACATTAAGACTTTCTAATATAATTTGAATTTTTAATAAAAATATAAATTAATAATTATGACCCCTTAAAATATAAAAAAATTATAGAAATCAACTAATTAATATTTGTTTTAAATATTCTTTTTTTTATTGAACTTAAAAGTGAATTTATTTTAAATAAAAGATTTGAGGATGAAAATTCTGAATAATAAGGTAAATTATTTGAAGAAGTAAATTTATATTGTAATTGTTTTATCTAAAATATTGTAGCAATTAGTTAGAAGTACAGACTATGATGAATTATCTTGCTTTAGATTTTATATTAATGAGGCTAGCGAAATATATCTATTAAAATTGAGATTAGATTGTAAATAAATCTAAAATAAGAAATAAATTAAATTAATAAATCCCTTAATTTATTTTTTAAGACATTTTTCTCAATTATTTTGCTCCCATATTGTAGATTAACTAAGTTATTTTATCTTTATTAGAATAGGAAATAAATCTGAAAATTATAAGCAATATTTATATTAAAAATACTTACTTTTTATTAAATCTGATCTCTATAACAAAACATTTCTCTGATAGAAATTTCAAACTATAAGTTATAATTGAGATAGAGAGAATTATAGTCATTGAACAGGGAATAATTTTAATAAGTTCTAAAATTAAAAGGTTAAGCTCAATATTTCTATGAAGAGAGATATAAGAAATAAATTAAATTTCAAGAGAATAATTTTGAATATCAAATAAACTCTAATCGGTTTAGTATCAGCTTAATCGATTTCTTAATAATTAAAAGAAAGCTAAAATAATGTTATGTATCTAAATTTAAATCAAAAGATCCAAAATCATTATACTAAGAAAATTCATCTGCTTCCAGAATTAGATATGTGTTTCTTTATTTCAAAAACATATCAATTGCACGTATAATGATATATAATGATGTACTCTAATTACATTATGATTAAATATAATTATTCATAATAACATTTCGGTTCTTTATTAAATTGTTAAAATAATATTTTTCTGATGTTCTAAAACTAAGATTTTTTAATTTTAGTCAAAAATATATCTTTAGTACTATTAATCTAACAGTATTCAATTGTCAATAAACTCCAATGACTTTAAGTTTAATAACTTATAATAATCTAGATCAAAATCTTAATTTTAGATTCATTTGATGTAAGATTTATTTAATTAATAAAACACATTAGATCAATTTTAACATTTTGTTAATAACATCAAAATTTATATAATATACTTTAAATACTTTTAGCATAATTATGATTCAATTATTATATGATATTTCTTTACGTTTTTTATTTCCACCTATATCCATTTCTATCCATGTACCAACTTTTTTACCATCATTATATTCACCATTATAAGTTATTTTCAATTATCCTACTCCAGCCCCAAAATTATCAATTACTTCAATCCATTTTCCTATTTTTATTGAATTTTCTTCGCCATATAAACCACCTCCACTAATTATTTATAGAATAATTTACACTTTCTCATTTTTAAACTAAATATTCCATTTACCAACTTTATTACCCTTTTTATATTCGCCAACGTAAGTAACTTAAGATTCATTCGAAAATCCATCACTTAAATCAATCCATTTACCAATCTTCACTGAATCTTCTTAATCATAAAATCCACCACCACTAACATATATGTAATTAGTTTACATCTTCTCGTTATTACAATAAATATCCCATTTTCCAATTTTTTTTCCAATTTTATAATCACCTATATGAGTGACTTGAAAATTAAATGCAAATAAGCCGCTTAATTCAATCCATTTCCCAATTTTAAAAGAATCTTCATTATCATAAAATCCTCCACCACTTAATATTAATAATTTCTTTACATTTTTCTTCCCTTATATAAGATGTCCCATTTACCAACTTTTTTACCTTTTTTATATTCACCATCATAGGTAACTTAAGATCCATCATAAAATTTTTCTCTAAGCTCAATCCATTTCCCTTTCTTGATTGAATCTACTTCATCATAAGAGCCACCACCACTAAATTTGTTTAAATTATATATCTAACATCTGTTATTTTCCTCCAAGATTGAAATAAATAACCCATTCACCAACTTTCTTATCAAGTTTATATTAACCATTATAAGTGACCTAGGATCTATGCTCAAACTCATCACTCAACTCAATCCATTCCCCAATCTTGAGCCCATTACCTTCCTCATCATATAAACCACCACCACTATATAATATTAAAAAATGAGATTTTACATCCATTCATATTTGGAAACGTCATAAATATTTTTAAAATAAGCATCCCATTTACAAACTTTTTTACCATTTAAATATTCGCCTTTATAAGTTACTTATGAATCATCCTTAAATCCATCACTTAACTCAGTCCATTTTCCAACCTTAAACTCATTACCTTCTTCAGCATATTATCCACCACCACTAAAATATTTTTGATTATATTTATAAAACAACTTTACATTTTCTAATTTCCATTCCAATTAAAGTAAATATCCCATAGGCCAACTTTTTTACCATTTTTATAATCACCATTATAAGTGACTTAAGAATAAAAATTAAACCCTCTGCTAAGCTCTGTCCATTTCCCAATTTTTAACTCATCACCATCCTCATCATATGATCCACCTCCACTACAATAAATTTGGATAATATTTAAAATTAAATTTTACATCTTCTTAAATTCTTCTTCATATTCCCCTTTAAAGAATATATCCCATCTACCAACCTTTTTATCATTAACATAAACACCATGATAAGTCACTTATGATTAATTGTAAAACTCATCACTTAATTCAATCCATCTCCCAATCTTCATTTAATTAATTTAGTCATATGATCCACCTCCACTAAATTGTAAAAACAATAATTATTACATCTTTTTATTTTTTCCTTCATAGTTATAAAAAATATCCCAACTCCCAACTTTTTAACCATTATTATATTCTCCATTATAAGTAACTTATGAATTGTTCCTAAATCCATTACTTAACTCTATCCATAAACCTGTCTTAAATTCATTACCTATTTCATCATATAACCCCCCACCACTGATATTAAATTTTCAATATTTTACATTTTATTATTTTTCCAAAAATAATTCCAACAACCAATTCTTTTGTCTAATTAATAACTACCTATTTCAATTACATTTTTTTAACTTTAATATGATATTGTTATAATAAAATACTCGCAATAATCCTGGCATAAATCAATCCACTTTCCTTCTTTTTATCCTTAAAAATTGAATTTACCACCTCCAATTTATTATTCTTTCCAAAAATAATTCCATTGTTTAATTTTATAACCATTAATTCCAAATTATCCTTTAAATTATAAATATCGTATTTATTCAAGATTATGGATTATATCTTCTACTTATTAACCTAATTAAGTATTTTCTCTAAAATTTTAATTAAGAAAATATACAATCTTAAACAATCTCCTTCTTTGGAATAAATTTTATTGCCGTTGGGTTTTCTTGTGAAATAAAATTTAGTGGAACTTAATCCATAATTAGTCTATTCTAATCCATCTAAACAAATAATTTCTTAAGTTATTTCTTTTTAAGTACTTGAAGTTACATAATAAATTTACAAATAATTCTTAACATAATCAATAGCATGATTCAAACTACAGGCTCCAATCACTAATTTCTCCCAAAATGGAATAACCTTAGTCATTTAATCCAATACAATTTTCTTCTTTTTATTCCATTCCATGACACTATTTGAATTTAAAAATTCAACAAGAAATTATAAATCTTCCACTTTACATTCTAAAGGATTTAAGTTTGGATTTATAAGATTTTCATACCTATTGTCTCCATATTTACTCATCGTACTAATTATATTGATTGATTCTTTTAAATTTGTAATTATGATTTTGACCTCTTCTAAAATGGAGTCAAGTTTTTTTTGAATTGTTTATAACAAAGTTGTTGATTATTATGATTAAAAATCGATTTATGATTTATCAAATTTTTGAAGAAGTTATTCAACAAATTTTTGATATGGAATAATCAAATCACTTGCAATTTTATGTTCTTATACACATTAGGGACAAAGCTTTCGTTAGCATTAATGTTTCGCTGTACATATACTGACTAATCCATATTAAGGATGTAAATCACAATTGATATGAGATGACAACATTCAATAAATTTAATAATAATATTAGCTAATTCTATAATCAGCTTTGTATGATAATTAAAAATTCAGAATTAGTTTTAAATAAATTTCTAAATTATATTAAAATATTCTACAGATGTTATTGATTCCTTGTCCAAAAACACCTTACAGATTATGAAATAAAAAAAATAAAACTTTAAGATTATAAGGATACATCATATTAAAAACTACTTAATTAAACACGATTGAAAGAAAGGAAAATTTGAATTGACATTATTGTGAAAATAAGAGTTTTAATAATATAGAAACCTTTTAAAGAATAATATTACATCGAATACAGTCTAAAAGAAAAGGAAATACAATATTTGCTGTAATAACTAATTCAAAACTGATCGTTGATCTAAATGCTCAAAGATATCTTAAATATCAATATTAATTTGAATAATTAAAGTTCATTCCTGAAATTATTTTTCTTCTTTAAATATATTTAAGAAGTTATTAACAGAATATGATCTATTTTCTATCATGAAATGTATCATTTGATATGATTTTACGATTTCAATAAAAATTATTTTAATATTCTATAATTCTAAAATAGAATAATTCTAAAATATTTTTACAAAAAAACCAAAAACTAATTAATTAAATAAAACATATAATACAAGTAAATCTTAAATAAAATTACAATAATTTTGGTAACATATTCATTCGATTAACTAGGAGTCAGAGAAGAATGATGTAATTATCAAAGACAAAACTTATTGGATTAGCATTTAATAATATAGAAGTAGTTTGAAATTAAAAAATCAGAAAAAATTGAAATACATATCTATCAAATACACATTATTTAATTAATCTGCCAAAAATCTAGTCTTTCTAAATTAAGGCTATAAATTGCATTTTCTGTTACATTTTTAATATTAAGATATTATAAGTCTTAGAATATTAAATAAATAGTAGATTATTAATATCAGGAAATATCCATTTTTAGATCAATTGATAAGTAACTAAAGATTGAGTTTAAATTAAGTATTCAAATTAAATAATCACAAATAATAGTAAATAGAATAATTACAAAAAGTATATTTTAATAGGAAAATTTTCTTGGTATTATAAAAACAAGTCATCAGATAAGTTCTATAATCTCATATTTTTATCGATGATGTATTTCTAATAGATCACCCAAGTATTAATTCTTTATTTTTTAGTTTTAAAATTAGAATAAGTAGAGATAAGTTGTGAATTATAAATATATATTTCTTGAATTATCAAAATATATGTGATTTACTATTTTACTTTTTTCTTCTCAAAGAATATTAAACTTCTTATTGTACTATTATAAATAATTATTATATTCATTATTTTTTGTTTCAATTATAAATATAATTACACAAAGAAATCTTTAAAAATATTATTATTATTATTGTGAATATATTATATATTTAAATATATATGTAAAATTATCAAAAGTAAATTCTACAAACACTAAATTCAAAAATTCTCCATTTTCTTCTCAAAGTTATATTAATGTATTTTATTATGGAACTCTCAATAAAAGTTTGGTAGTGAAAGGGCTATTTTAATATATTAACAAAACACGCATTTTTATAGGTAGTTTACAATGTTGAAAATTGGTTTATTTACAAAAATATTGTGTTTCAATTTACATAAAGTTAATGTGAGTCTGTAATAATGAAATCTTGATTTATTGATTGATAAAGTATATTTAATAAGTATATCCTTCAAATTTGCAAATTTATTTACAATTTGATATGAGATTGTAAATGATCTAAAGATTTTACAAAATAAATTTTCAAATTTTAAGGATATCTTTCTTTGATTTGATTAAGTGATGTATAAGTTAAGAAGATAAAAAATTTGAATTGCCTTGAATTAATATTATAATTAAATTATATTTCTTCAATAATTTAAGAATTTCAAATAACTTATAGTTTTCCTTAAAAATATTGATTCTATTTTGAAGAGTATTTAATAATATATAAATAATATTTAAATTACAATGATTAAAAGTACAGTGTTATTTTGTAATTAACAAATAATATTTTGTTTCTCATTCATAAGCTTTAAGATTGATTAAGAAATGCCTATTTGCTTAGATAAGAATATTATTATCTAAAAAATCTATCATCATACCCATTGTAAATTTGATCAATTAATTTTCAATAATAATAATATTAATAAGTTATGGCCATCAATCATTAATTTGAAATCAAATACTATTTCTATTATTCAAGAGATAGAAACATCAATAAGGATAGACATTAATTGAGAAAGTTTTCCAACAAGAGTAGGCTTAATTATTTCCTTATTATTAATTAAATTAATTGAAAATTATTTCAATTTTTCAATTTATATTATGCTTCTAAATTCTAAACCAGATGCAATTAGCTATGGATGAAAATAATCCATTTCCACTTATAATTAATTTTTAATAGTAACTGATATTCATTTAATTCTTTAAACAATCATTCACAAATCAACAAAAATTTCATTAATTATAACTATGTCAAATAATTTGATTTCTTAAATTAATGGCTAAGGAGTACTAAAGTATGCCGAATTATTCATTCTATATAATTTAATTTCTTATCTTTTTTTTTAAGAATGAAATATTTCCAAAATATAGTATGCACTAAATTAAACTAAATATTCCATCATCTAAAATAAAATATTAAAAATTATTATGATATATACATTATGATTAATGAAATATGAAATAAAAAAAATTTATTTCATGTTATTTATAATTCATGATAAAAATATATTTATATTACCTTTTCTGATTTATAAATTAATTCTCTTCAATATAATTATGTTTTCTTAATTTTCTCTTATAAATATGTATTTCTAAATATAGAAATGACATATCACAATCAAAGAAATTAAAGACCTAATCATACCCCCCTATTTGGAAATTTTGAAGTATTTAAGAGGTTCAGTAAATTTAATTTATAATAATTAATATCTTAGAAATAATAAATAATGGAATAAGCCTTAAAAACTTTGTAAACCAAATTACCAACCAAGCCAATTTAACTTGTATTTATCAAGAAAAACAGCTTAAATAGAAAGTATTCCCCTTTCTAAATACAAATAAATTAATCATCAAAATATCAAGTATTGAATTATTATATTGTTGATAGTAACTGACAGAAACATAGAGAGAATAAATAGCAATCAAATAATCTCATATGAAAAGAATACAAAAAGGTCTATCTAGTAAAAAATAATGTACTCAAAATCAATAAAATAAATAATTGATTTCCATGCCTTAATAACTACATCAAAAATTTCTTTGTTAAAAACAAAAGGATTTAGTGTAAATTCTTATTATATGTTTAACAATCTTGTCACTCATTGTAATCATTTTCGAATATCATCAACAAGAAAATAATAAAAAAATTTAGGAGAAATGAATTTATATAAAACCATAACTTTATTTATGTAATTTTAATAAGTTTATGTAATAATATAAGCTTGACATATTATTACTTCATTCTACATTAATTAAACCTATTGCTACTTAAGGCAATACTTTAAAAAAGGAATATGATATTTAGATATTAATGGGTATACTAAAAAAGAAATGTATTATCAATTTATAGTAAGATTATTGAGTTTTACTGGATAGTGTTGTCCTGTTCTTAACAAAATCATAAGTTTATTAAATGTAATAAAACTTATTGAAAAATATATTCATAATATAATATAAATAAAATTTAATATTTTACCTAGTTATAAATAAAATAATTTTTTTTTTTAAATTACTTACTATTACTTTATATCATTGTTGAAATCATCTTATATTCTTAGGTAATCAAAAAGATTTGTAATTTCGCTAAAACCAACATTATCTGCATCTTTTAATTACCAACAGAAAGAATCATCTATTATAATATAAATCTGCCTTCTTCTAATGCATTGAAAAAGGGTTTGAAAAACTGTAAACTTTTATTGGATTTTGATCCTTCAAGAATCAAAACGATTAAGTCTATCACTTTAATCAATCTTTTCTAAGCAAAAATCTAATGAGAATAAATGCACGAGGATGATCAATTAAAAAAACTAGATGAATCTTCAAATCTTCCTATTAAGTTTATTCTCTAAAGGAACAATATTATTGATAAAGAAACTCTTTAATTATTTTTAATTCTTCTTACATATTGCTAAACTTGTGAATTTTCAAATTTGTTTAAGAAATACAAATATTATTTATTATTTTTATTAATACATAACTTATAATCGAATGTTTAATATAATTTAGCAAAAGATTAAATAAAATTCAATACTGAACCCTGAAATTAACTCAAAATATCTTAATAAGTGTTAATTTTTTCTTTAATTATTAAAGTTAAATAATCATCAAATTATAGTTAATCTTAATTATTAGAATTTATTAACACTATTCAATATTAGATAATTCCTTTGTCATTAGACTAATTAGAAATCCTTTTCAAAATTTATAATCACCTTTTCAGATCACTTTTATTAAGACTTTTCTTCAAACTACTTTATGATATTATTGATTCTTTATTTAAATATTATAATTACATTAAAATAGCTTAACAGTTTATTATGAAATACTATCCAAATCATCTGAGTCAGATTTAATTATTCAATAAAGAGATAAAAATCTTAATAAAATTTATTAAAAGCAGAGGATAGACAATTTATTACGAAGTTAGAACATATAGAAATATGATTGCATTTGCATTGATATAAATAATAATAATGTGTATTATTATCGATTAAACTAAAAACAAAAAAATCTTTCTTGAATTAGATAAGGTTTGACTATAATAATAGAGGATTATTTAACCTCTGAAATTATCTACATAATTGCTTTTGTAAAAACTAAGAAATTAACAAGTAGCAACAATAACACTTAATAATGTTAAGGTCTAATATTATTTAAAGTAATATTATTCTTTCAAATGAATTGATTTTTATAAAAAAATAAAGTCTTAATAGTTATTATTCTCTTATAACGTTAAATTTTTATTACTTTTGATCTTATTATAGATAAAATTTGGATTTTAAGATGTTCCATATTATTTATCCCAATCCTAGGGTATGTATTAAAAACCTATTTAATCTTATAATAACCCCTAGAATCTTTTCAAAAAAAAGCAGTATCTTCAATAATTGTCGAGTAGCTTGTCAAGAGAATATATAAAAATCTTTTAAGAAAATTAAAAATGAATATTAAAGTTTAGTAAATATAGATATTTTTTTTAAATACGATATAATTTAAAAATGGAAAAAATAGGAATCTTTTTTTTGTAATATCCTATCATTTTAATAATTTTCCTATTAGTTTAAGTCAAAAAGGTGAAATAATGATATTTTTATAAATTATCAAAAATAATTGAAAAAGTGTGTAAATCAACTCATTTACTTAATATTGTATGTCTAATTTCTGCTGAATATTTATTAAGTAAATATATAAATAATGAGAATAATTTTTTTTCAAATAATATTAATAATTATAGGAATAGATCGGAATGAATCATTTCATAACAACATTTTCTAAGATTGTTTATTATTTAGATTATTTTAAAAAATAATATGATTTTAATCAAATATTTTAAAAAATAATATGATTTTAATCTCTTTAATAAGCTACTTAACTTTACAATTTAATTTGAATAATTACCACAATTAATTTATGATCAAATTTTCAAATAGACTTCTTTTTTCATTTAGAACCCTTTATTAAATACTTGATGTACCTTAAAATGCCAGTTAAGATCAAATAAAATAAAACTATCTCAAGATTGTGAAGATGTATCACCCAGATACTAATTCATAATAATCAAAAGATTAAGTGATTTTTACGACTACATTAGGAATACTTCAAATAAGTCACAGCAGCTTACACAATATTATCAAATCAAAATGAAAGACGTAAATACGATTAAACGTTAAATAATTCATTTTTTCAAAAAGATGATTTTTCTCAACAGAATTATGATTCAAATTTTTCTAAGCATAGAAAAGAACAAATAATAATGTACATCTATTTAGCTGCTTTCATTTTGGTTTATTTGTATAATTAGAAAATAAATGAATTATTTGGTATAAAAAAGTTACCAATAAATTCTCTACCAAATAAATATATCCCTAAAGAAGTTATTTAAATTGAAAAAAAAGAATTAACTGAAAAAGATTGCAAGTATTATCAATTAATATTGTTAGCGATTTGTCTTTAGATATTATTAAATAAAAGTCAAAAAGAGGTGACTATAAATTGGGATAATTATGTTATGATAGATTATTATTAGATTAACAAAAAATAATAAAAAAGAAAAAGAACTTGGATGATTTTTAGTAAGATGTAGTTAATTATAACAATTCATAAGTATCATAAAAATCTGAAACGATTTTAGTGGATTAATAATAGCCATATAAAATATAGAGTCCAATTAAATAACAGGAATAAAATTTAGAAAATAAGGAAAAGCTAGAAGAAATAAGAGAAAATGAAGAGTAAAAATAAAATTTATAATAAATTAATGAAGAATTTTCTGATGATTAAACTCTATAATTATTCTAGGAGTTAAATAACAATAAATTTGAAAATAATTCTGAATAAATTATTGTTGAGTAATATGATTAAGAAGTATAATCATAATAATAATAATCATAATAAGAGAGTTAATAAGAAAATTGATATAAGTATTCAAATAATCCTAAAATAAAATAAATAAAAGTTTTTTTTATTTCAATTTTTATTCTATGATTTTTTAAGTTTTAGGTAAACTTTATTTTGTTAAGTTAAAAGTTAATTTGAAAAATTGATGATTATTATTCTATTTAATTACATTTTAAATTAAATAATAATTAAAAAATTAAGATACTTTATCAAGGCTTACTTCATTTTAGTATTATCAAAAAAATATATTTTTTAACGACCTTATAAAACTATTGGATTCCCTTTTTGAGTTTAAGTATTATATTGCTTTTTGGCTTATCTAAAATAACCTAATTTTTTCAAAAATATATAATTAAATAAGTACTTGTCTGCAAGAATTATCTTTAATTATTTTGTATCACAAAAAATTAAATATATCTTCCCTATTTCTTCTTTCTATCAAGCTTAATAAAGATTCTTCAAGGTTAGAATTAGAAGAGGGTGAAAAAAAGTTATTTACAATAAAGAGGTTAATTTATAGCTAAATAATAATATAAATTAAATATGAATCAAAAGTATAAAAATAAAAGTCGTTTTATTATATGACCAATTAATTGTCACGTCCATCCCAATCAAGTAATAGATTTATGAATCCTAATCAATTTCATAAAATAATTACATAATGTTAAACAAAATCAGATAAAAATTTATCATGCTTCCTCTTTATACAATAATTATGAATGTATTTAGTATATGATGATTGTATATTTTTAAATATTGAATTTAGAATTGTTATCTATGATTTATAAATTTAATTATAATAGTTCATAATAGTTCATAAATGAATAAAAAAATTAGAATTACGAATGATGTTTATCAGCATAAAATAGAAGATTGCCTAGAAGTTATCTAAATCAAATTGAACTGCCAGAATGAATAAACTGATTATCAAAATTTTGATATAAAAAGATTATTATATTTTCTAACCTAGAGCTATTTTTATAATTCAGAAAGATATGTGGATTGGATAGACATCATATGAATGTTTAAATTTAAATTTTGATATTTTGTCTAATACTTTTATATGGGTTTGATTAAAAAATAATACTCAGTAACTGCTTGAATCATAGAATTATAATTATAATATTTGATATCAAAAATTACGAAAAATATTTTCCAAATTTAGTTTAATATTTTATTAATTAAAGGATACTAATTTTAATATTTTAAGAGGTCATATGGCACTTGGATAGTATACTTTTGATAATAATTGTTTTTGTTATTAAATCTTAAAAAAGAATAATATATTAGAATTGTTTATCCTCTAATTTAATCAGAAGATTTTAAAAAAATAAATAATCTAAATGTATTGAAAAATTCTTATTATATAATTTCAAAAGCCTTAATCTTCAAATTAAATCATAAACCAATATTAGGATTTCGGACTTGATATAATCGTCAATATAATCTTCTATGTACTTATATGCTAAATCAATTATTAATTTCATGTAAAATTGTGGCTCTATTGTTAAAAAAATATCATTAGTATTCTCAAAGTAATTTAATAATTTAAATCCGATTATAGTGTTAATTATTTATTCTTTTTCAGCCTATTACATACTTTCCTTAAAGATTATGTCAATTTTATTTTTTACAATATCATCAAGCATTCCTGTTATAAGTGCAATAGCAGGTTATAAGAATTAATTTTTATTTTTGTTATAAGTTTATAGCATTTAATGATATTTTAATATCTCATCATTATCATTAAATTATAGACTCTCCCAATTCTTTAAGTTGAGTCTAATTTCTTTAATCTTCTCGAACATAAATAATTCAGTAACTAAAGGAATTTAATCGAGTTTTGCAATTAATTATTATAATTACATTTCAATTTTATTTTTTTGATGTTTTCTCTTTGAATACATGAATTCATCTATTAATCTATCATCGAATGACACTGTTTAATCATTAGAATTATATGAATATGTTGTTAACAATATGTTTAATTAATTAATAGTATCACCTATTTATCCTTTTTAACATGATTATAAAATAGGTTCATATATATAATCTATGATTTAATTATTTGATTTGCCATGTTTATTTAAAAATATATTATTTTTTTTTAATCTTTTAATTATGAGTGAAATAATTTATAGAATCTTTTATTAGTCTGCTACTACCTGTTCTTCTAGATTTTCATAAAATTAACATTAATATCCCGTAAAAGATATTGAATACTTAATTTTTTAATATGTAATGGATAATTAGGTTTACTCTTATAAATTCAGCCAAATTCTATCTTCTCTTAAATAGTTGTGTTCCAAATTTTGATCTTCCATCAACTTCACTTTCATTAATAAATTTTGGAAAAACAAAAGTAGCTATCCTAAATGAAATCTGATAAAGCCAATTTCCTATTATATTAAAATTATATATATTTACTATTAATTCTATTAAGTCACTTAATCGAATATGTTTAGATCTGTCTATCTTGTATTTAATCGTTTTCTCATCTTCATAAAGGGTAACATTATCTATTTTATCCCATTCAAGAATTTTCTTCAACTTCTAAATATCTATATAGGAATAGTATTAATAAGAGTGATACTGCATTCCCAACATTGATTAATAACAATATTCTAATTATATAAATAAATAAATTCAATTCAGATAATATTGTCTATTTATATTTACATTTATCAGGTTCATGATTCTCACATTAGAATAACTTTATTAGATAATTAGTATTTTTTTGTGCCTTGAGATTTAAAAAATTTTGATTTTATAAAAAATCAACCCAATAACTACATTTTAGGGGTCTTCATTAAAGTTTATCCTTTTTTAACTCTTAAACTTTCTAATAAAATCCTTTGAACTTTACTGATTCTTATCAAAGTTAAAAAATAATATTGAAATACAAAAAAGCATTTCGTGTCTTCTTTTTATTTTGAGTTATTATTTTCTTGTTAATTTTCTTAATTATGTTTACCTTTTCACTATTAATATGAATAAACCCTCTCTTCTTATAAATATTAATACTTAAACAAAAAATATTATTTAATTCTAATTTGAAGCAATAAATAAAGTTTTTTCTCTATACATTCATAGACCTTTTTATCTGTAAAATGTAATTTTAATATATCATAAGCTTTATATTATAATTTAGATAACTAAAACTATTTTCTGGAGTTCTTAAATAAAGAATAAATTTAAATAAACAAAAATAACATGGCTTCTTAAGAAATTCTAATTATTTTGTCTTATAAAGCGAAATCGAAAATTTACCAAGTTCAAGTTAATACTGATTCTTTGGTGTAGGAATTGATTTCAGAGATGCATTCAATACTGTAGCCAGGAAATTAATAAATACTTGTTCTTTATCTAAATAATTTTATCCTTGATCCAAAAAAGAAGCTAAAAGATTATAATATTGTAAAAGGTAGCTAGATAGAAATTATAATTACTACTAATGGAGGAAGATGATGATGATTAAGAAATAAAAGATGAAATCGGAATCAATAATTAAATCTAAAGGGAAAAAAAGTAAACTCAATTATTTACTTTTATGAATTATACTTATAACTGGTCGATTGTTGATATTGATACAGTGATAAAGAATTCTATTCCTTTATTAGAATTTTTGATACTCTTGTTTTATCTTTATTTCTATTACAATTTATAATAAAACATTAACTATTCTTTTATTAATATTAATTTATATAAAATTAATACAAGTTGGATTTAAGTTTTATATACATCTTTATATAAATAATAATAATAGACTCAAACTTACGTTTAAGAATGATCGATGACAATTTAGATAAAAAATTTAGATTGAGAGAATCAAATCAAATTATACAAAATAATTTGAGATTAAACATCAATAATTTATAGAATTATTTGAATGAGTATTTTTTATTTAAGATTTATCAATGTTAGGCTTTATTATTTGCTTAAGTTTGTTCTATTAAATCAAGTAAGTTTAAAAAAAGGATTATGAAATTTTCCAATTAAATATATTAATTCTAAAGATGAGTTAATTTAATAAGCAATACTTGAGGTAAAAATATTTTCGCTCTAATTTTCTACCTAAATCACTCCAAAAGTATATCTTGGTATTATATTATATATTCAATTATGTTAGAAAAATGTTTAAATGTCAATTACCTTATTTTTATTATTGATATATCAAGAGATAAAGAAAGAAGTAATCAAACTTTAATTTAAATTATATGTTGAAAAGAAAAAGAAAATTTGTTTACAATTCTTTAAACTAACAAAATAAAATGAATATTTTAACTTTGTGTAATAATTTTGAATTAAAATTCTTTTAATAAAATACTTTAATAATTCTTTGATTTAACCATTTGGAATATTTGCATTAGTCTCAAATATAATCTTTAGAATGATTCAAAGTTATAAAAATGATACTTTCATAAATCCTTTAATAAGAAAAGGCCTAACTTAAAATAAATACAGATAGTCTAATATGTTTAAGCTTATGATATTTATGATAATTAAACTTTGCCTTGAAATACACATCATTATTTTCATGTATATAATCAGAGAGTCACTATTTAAACTTTAAGCTGAATTCATGCTTTTTCTTAAAAAAATAAGAAATAACTATTTATAAAGAGCAGTTTAGTAAGAGTAATCCTTTTATATTCATTTAAGACCCTAAAGTAGGTATATTATTATAATTTAATAAATAACTTTATTAAAAATACAGAGTAATTTCATGTGTTTGAAATCTATTGTACTAACTTATATGTTTAAATTGTTATTTCTTAATTTTTAATATTAATGAATACTAGCTTCCAAAAAAAGCTTAAGGGTTTATTCTTTCATCAAATGAATTGTTCAAAAAAATAAAATACAATTTCAATTCCTTAATTTTATAGATATTTGTTTAATTGTAAAGAATAAGTCGAGATTATTACTTACCCAGCCTTATCTGCAAAAAAAATTTTATATACAATAACGAAAACGAAAAGGATACTTATCTAACATAAAAGTAGAGAAGATAAATT